GTAAATTTATATCTGTCATACTTTATGTATGTTCTACTTCTGTTTAGGATATTCGGTATATTGATATATATTTAAGATTATTGTCATATTGCATATCGCACTATATACTCCTACCTCTGTTATAAACATCTTGTGTATTGTCACAATTTTGAAGTCATCGTTCTTTACCATACATTTGCTTATATACTGTTTACCTTGTTTATGTGAAGCCTTAGTGCTTAGGTTATTTCGGTAGATAAGACTTATAGATTTATAGTCACCTATGCTTGTCATCTCTATAGGTACGTTAGTTAGGTTATCCAGATTTACAGATACATAGATCAGATGGACAGGTAATCTTCAAACACTTCATAGACCTAGAGAATATGGCATTTAAATAACTTAGAATTCTGTTGACGTGAGACACAATTGCTCCTGGCTGCACCAATTTGATCCCAAGAGAATGCTGGGCTTCTAAGACATTTCCATTTGGAAGTTTGTCTTCTTGGTACAAAATGACCTACTGGTTAAAGAACTGCCCTTGCCTCGACGGCTGACAATACGAATGCAATGCTGTCCTTTCTGGACAAGCGGGACACAAGGAAAGCAACCACTGTACTCTGCCAAGACAGGGTAAGATGGTCTTTCAGAATTCCTGCTTCTGAAAATGGTCTGTCAGATACTTTAGGCCTGTAGCCAATTTGAATGCACCAACAATGCTGAGAAACATTAGGTGACTGTCCAGGCTGCCAGCTGTCTCGGTCTACTCTTGTAAGATTCCCGAAAGTTGCTTGCATCCATCTACCATTTCTCAGGTACCATTATATTCCTTCTCAGGTCTTTGATGGGATTGAAGACTAGCAGTTATAGTTACAACTTAGTAGATAGAACATATTAAGTATTATATTCAGGTTCTTTAAGATAGGACACCTTTTGGAATGATCTTTGTAACATGCCATTTACCTATGCTCTATACTTCTCTGGATTTTAGTATGTGTTTCTTGCTTGATATTGTTTGCATTGGTTGTAGTTCCATCTTATCTAGGTCATTATCCCTCATTATTCCTGGACAATATTTGATAACCACTCCTTTGTATATAGTCTTGTATTAGGTTAGAACCTTCTTATTTAGACAAAAAGGGGGAGATGTAGTGGGTAGCCATTCCAGCTTTGATCTGGAAGTTCCAATCCCCATTGAGACTTCAGCAACTGTCACGCCTACAAGGCGGGGCCAAGGGAGGCACCTGGAGACCTGAGATCTGGATGGGTGGAACTCGCACTCAGTTCCAGGTCCTTGGACGGTGAAGGTGGGCCAAGCAGAGCTCCAGAGAACACCACTGGACTGCGATACACCTTCCCCAGACCCCGCAACCTACCTATCCCTTAACTTGTAAGTTACGCCATTAAATAAATCTCCTTTTAACTACGTGGGGTGGCCTTAATAATTTCACCAATACTTCTGTGCCTTTTTTCTTTTTTGAGACAGGGTGTTGTGTATCCCAGACTGGCCTCCATTCACTATGGAGCCAAGGATAACCCTGATCCTCCTGTGTTTTGGGGTTGTAGGAACCCACCCTCATTTCTGGGTTACGGAATACTGGGATCAGACCCAGGGCTTTGCACATGCTTGGTAAGCACTGGGCCAGCTGAGCCACACCCCCAGCCCTCTGTTCTGCTTTTGTGTAGACCTAAAACCCCTTAGCACGGGTTATATAATAAGGAGGATGGGCACCTGGGTGTGGGCTCTCTGTGCGTACACACAGGGAGCAGCCAGTAGCCAGGGCTGAGCGACAGCCCGAGCACTACTCAAATGAGTCAAGGTGGTCTGTGCAGAAGGCACCTGGGCCATTCACAGCTTGGCACACACAACCCCTTCGCATCACCTTTCACAGCAGCTCTAACCAGGAGGAAAGGGCCACTGCCCTAAATGTAACAGGGATCTAACATGTGTCTTTAAAAACTGTTCTTGGGCTGGCAAGATGGCTCAGGTGATGATCCCAGGACCCACATGGTAAAGAGAACCAACTCTTCCAAGTTGTCTTCCAACCTCCACACATGTCTGCACCCTCCCTTACACACATAAAAGAAGGTAGGAAGAGAGGGAGGGAGGGAGAAAGAAAGGGCTATTCTTCATTTGCTTACTTCCAAAATTGTGCTCAGGGTTTATGCTTAGTTTTCTTTGTGCATATGCAGATGTGTACATGGGTGCACTCACCTGGGCGTGTGCAGATGTGTGCGCGGGTGCACTCACCTGGGCGTGTGCAGATGTGTGCACAGGTGCACTCACCTGGGTGGGATTCTGTGTGAGAGGTCAGTGTCAAGGCCCTTCTTCAATCACTCTCTATCCCTTTTTACGATTTTTAAAAAGTGTTTATTTATTTATAGACAAGGTCTTAACTATCTAGCCTTGGCTGGCCTGGAATTAGCAGAGATCTGCCTGCCTCTGCCTCCTAAATTCTAGGATTAAAGGTATGTGCGGCCACACTCAGCCTCCCTCCCCTACTTTGGAGACAAGGTCTCTCACGGACCCTGGAACTGGCAGTGGTGGCTGGCCAGCTAGCGAGCCTGCCTCTGTGATCCAGCATTGGCATTACAGGCGTGGGCCACCATGCCAGTCTTTCCCATGGGTGCTGGGGATCAGAGCTCAGTCACTCCTGCTTGTACAGCAATCATTTTATTCACTGAGCCATCACCTCTGCCCCAGTAGCCCAAGCTGGCTTAGAACTTGTAATCCTCCTGACTCAATCTCCAAGTTCTGTGATTATAGCTGTGAAGCACCATACCCAGCCTGCACTATGGAGTGTGAGTGTGTCTATATGTGTGCACATGCGTGTGCACGTGAGTGTGCAGGCCAGATATCAACTTCCGATGTTGTTCCTGAGAATCTGTCCACCTTGTTTTCAGAGAAAAGGTCTCTCACTGGCCTGAGGTAAGCCACTGAGCTGGGCTGGCTGGCCTAGCCGCCTCCAAAGCACTCACAGGGAAGGCCTGACTTTTTCAGAGCTCCCCAGACCTGCACGTGGGCTCTCTGGCATGAATTCCACACCACACATCCTATTTCAGTTTCTGATGGCCCTTAGGCATTCTGGAATGTTCTCATCAGTGTAGCACAGACATGAATGAAGAAGGGCACTGCTCCCTGGCATAAGTCCACCTTGTCCCTTCGCAGCTCTGTGGCTCCCTCTACCTTTCTTCTCCAGTCACCTTGGACTTCAGGGACTGACCTTGGTGGCAAGTGACTCAAAACTCCGCCCAGCTAAGGTGAGTCTGTGCAACAGGCCATGTCCACATTCACCTGCCCTTGAGAGACTGTAACCCCGACTGCTCCTTGCAAGGCCATGCCGGCAGTGGCTTCTTCAGGCCCACCTTCCAGAAGGAGATAAAACAGTGCTCTCAGATGACACCTTCATCAGAACTGCTTAACCGTGTCGAACTCTTGCCTGCTCTGTCTCCATCCTTTCTCCAGTTAAACCCAACGCTCCTGCTAAAACCCTGAAGACAGACTTGGGGGCCCTGGACCCACCTATCTGGTCCTTTTCCCAGTGTGGCCACACTGAACACATCTCTCTTTCCTGTCTCTTTTAGTTGGCGTGTGGGGACAGTGGCCCAGCTCAGCTGGCTGAGACATTGTTATCTTCCTTTCTCAGTCACCTTCCTGCTATGTACCCTTTGAGAGGATGCAGGAATCTGTCTCAAATCAGCCCAGGAGCTGGAGCTGGGGGACAAGACAGCTCAGCCACACGGACAAGGACCCTAGCAAGGAGGGCGCCAGCTCCACTCTTCTCGGCCCTGTGTAAAATTTGAATGAAACAGTAGACCAAGAAAGACCACAGGAAGCTGGTCTGGATTTTGCACGGAGACACAAGTGCCTTCCAGGGCAGACCGACTCACAGGGTGATGTTCTGGTGCCTTGGGTGGCCTGTCTGTGGTTTAAAAAAATCACACCTAAAAATCCCCAACTGTAGTTGGTCACTGCAGCTGGATGCCTGAGGAAAACTCCAGAAAACAAGTCCTTTTTTTCTGTGTTCATCAGTTCCTCTTTAAAAAAGGGGAGTGGGATGGGGTGGGACATCGCTGTGAGGCACAAATGTCACCCTCCTAATGACAGTGGCACAGTGACAGCCAGAGTCCAGATGCTCAATCCTGCCCTGGAGGAGACACAAGACTGTGTGTGTGTGTGTGTGTGCGTGTGCGTGTGTGTGCGCACATGTGCATATGCACTCTTGTGTGTGCAGGCATGTGTATGAGCTTGAGGATGTTGGGGGTACAAAGGAAAAGCTCAGTAGCATCTACCTTAGTTTTTGAGAGACAGAGTTACTGAACCTGGAGTTCTCAGGCTAGGCTGACCAGAGCCCCTGGATCCTCCATCTCCACCTCCCAGTATTGGGAACCCACATGTGTGCAGCCATGCCTGGCTTTCTCCTGTGGGTTCTGAGATCGGACTTGCTCACAAGGCTTTTCTGACTGGGCTGTCAACCAACCAACTCCCTACTTCCTTTAAAGTTTTACGTCTGTCCTTCCTTCCTTCCTTCCTTCCTTCCTTCCTTCCTTCCTTCCTTCCTTTCTGTCTGTGAGTAGAGACAGAGGACAATCTCAGCTGCCATTCTTCAGAAGCCAGTACCTCATTTTTATGAGGCAAGGTCTTTCACTGGGACCTGGGACCACTGAGGACAATGGCTGGCCAGGAAGCTCCAAGGACCTATCTATCTTCCCAGTGCGGGGCTTATAAGTGTGCACCACCATGCCCAGGTTTCCCATGGGTTCTGGGAGTTGAACTTAGCTGTTACACTTGCAAGACAAGCACTTTGTAGATGGAGTACTCTCTCTGGTCCTGGGCTCAGTCATCTTTCCACCTGCTCACTCCTGGTCTCCTGGGAGCCTGCTGGGACTGCAGTACCTCAGCTTGTCATCAACAGCCCTCTTCTACATTGTCTCCAATGTCAACTTGGGGCCAAGAGTAAAACGGGGGAGGGGGAGACACAGAAGGCACCCAAGTCTGAGGAAGCAGAAATTTCTCTCACCCTCCAGGAGCCCCGGGGCTGTGCATACTCAGGACCTGCCACCGAGGCTCCTGTATCTCATTCTTCTGTAGAATGCTCCAGGTGCAGGGCCATCTCCGTCATGACGGATGACAACGTGACCTCCTGCACTCATCAGAGCCTGGACGGGCGGATCCTGGGGCCATCAGGATGTTGGAGTGGATGCTGGTTGCCAAGCACTCACAGTTCCCACTAAAAGTCTGCGCAGCTGAGGTTTATGTGTGGAAGTGAAGAACAGCAACTTCCCTCTGGCCACCGCAGTTTTCTCCTCTTGTTTCTGTTCTTTACTTTTTCTTAAAGACATAGACCAACTTTAGCAGCCGGTTGGCTCAGTATCACATAGAAGGAAGCTCATGGGATGACTCAGCAGGCCCTGTCTGCTCAGCCCAGGCTGCAGGGAGTCATCAGGCACCAGCCAGTCTGAGTTAGGCCTGATGGACTCTGATGCCGCTGGAGCCCAGACCCATCCTTTAGCCAAGGCTCTGGGGTCTTCTAAAAACATAGACACCAAAGAATGGATATCAGAGATTCAAACAAAACCATGTACTATATACAGCTATTCACAACAGTATTAACCACAATGGACCAAAATGGAAATACCCCAGATGTCTACCAATAGGTCACTTGATAAGCAAAATGTGCTATCAGCACACAGTGAAGTGTCATCAGCTACACTAACGTGTGGCACTTGCTCTAGGTGGACCACCCTTGAAAACCTGATGCTCAGGGAAGAAGGCAGCACAAAAGGAGCGGTGTCCCACAATTCCGCTGTATGTGGGGCCCGGAACAGCCAGAGACAGAGATGGAAAATAGGACTGGGGCTGGACTGCTCAGTGGTTAAGAGTGCTTCCCGCTCTTGCAGGGGACCCACCTTTGGTTCCCAGCATCCATGACAGGAGGCTCACAATCGCCTAACACAGCACCAGGGAGTTGGATACCCTCTTTTGAGAACACCAGCACACGTGGCACACACACACACACACACACACACACACACACGCACGCACGCACTCACACACACACACACGCGCGTGCGCGCGCGCGCGCGCGCGCACACACACACTAAGAAAAGAAAAGGATAGAGGTTCCTGAGTGTTGGAGTAGGGACAGTGAGGACTGTTTTCTGAGTACAGTTGGGAAGATGAGAGAATTCCTGGAGATGGGTGGTGGTGGTGTCGCACAAAATGAATGTTGTTACTACCACAAAGCTATGCACATGAAAAAATTAAAAAGAATCAGCCAGACCATTCAGTAGGTAAAGGTGCCTGCTGTCGGGCCTCACAACCCGTGTTCAATCTCTGGGACCTACGTGGTAGAAGGAGAGAACCAACTGTTCCCATTATTTATTGTGTGTGTGTGTGTGTGTGTGTGTGTGTGTGTGTGTGTGTGTGCATGCCACAGCACAGGTGGGGGTCAAAGGACAACTTTTGGGAGCTCTTGCCTTCCACTATGGGGGTCCCAGGGTCTCTGGTTGCCAGTCCGGGCAGCAGAGGCCATAACCCACTAAAGCCATCTCACTAGCCCAATAAATAGAATTTTAAAAATCATAAAAAGAGAAAATGGTTAAAATGGTCAATTTATGACAATAAAAACGTGAAGAAAAATAATGACGTACCTTTGCATAAGTGGCTGTGTCCACCTCAACTGCGAACCAAGCACATTCAAGCATGAGGCCCAAGTTCAGATCCTCAGGGTCCAAATAAAAAGCCGGGCATGGTGGTTTGCACCTAGAATCCCAGAGCTACTGAGGTGGAGACAGGGGCATTCCTCTGGGGTTTGCTAGCCAGCCAGCCTAACACAATCAGCTCCAGGTTCACTGAAAGACCCCGTCTCAAAAAATAAGTTGGAGGATGGTTGTCCACATAAATACTCATCCCCAGCCCCACCCCAAACTTACATGCCAAAATATTTGAGGGGAAAAAAACCCCTGCTATAGGGTTGGGGAGTTAGCTCAGTGGTAGAGCGCTTGCCTAGCAAGCGCAAGGCCCTGGGTTCGATCCTCAGCTCAAAAAAAAAAAACAAAAACAAAAAGTAAAAAACCAAAACCCTGCTACTCTATTGAACATGACTTTAAAATCATCATCTTCTAAGCAATATGGTCTAACACCTGTGTAGGTGACACTGTCTTTATATCAGATGTTGCAAGTCCTCTAGATGTGGCTGACGGTATATGGGAAGATGTTCATAAGTTGCATGTCAAACTATGTCTATTTTATATGGGGATGTGACCATCCTCAGATTTGGGTACCCAAGAAGAGTCCTGACACCAGTCTCCTTGGGTGCTGAAGGATAACTATCCAACCATGTGGATGAGCCTTGAAAACACCATGTTAAGTGGAAGAAGCTAGACCCAAAGGGTCACGTGATGATTTAACTTCTATGGGCTCTCTAGAATGGGCGGATGACACAAGGGTGTGTCAGTGGTTGCCAGAGGCTACCGGAAGGGGACTCAGAGTCTCTGTGGTGGGGTTTCCCTTGGGGTGATGAAAATATTCTGGAATTAGTGGGAAGGGTGCATGGCACTGTGAATGTACTAAGTGCTGCTAAAAGGAAGGAGGGAGGGAGGGAGGGAGGGTCCTGATGTCACTGACTCTCCTTCAGAAAGAAGGCAGCAGAGTGGGCAGCCATGAGAGGGTCCTCAGTACAAGCTCGGACTCTGAACTTGGCAGTTGCCCTGGTTCAAGTCCCAGCTCCTCCACTGAGGACTTGTGTGATCTTGGACAGAAGAATGGACCAGGGTCCTATCTGTGAAATGGGATGAATCAGAGTTGCCATGACATATCTCCAGGGGGCACTGTTCAACCAGTCTGTGGAAGCTGCACATGCCACAGCAGCACCAACTGCATGGAGTTCTGGGACAATCACATGAGAAATGTGACACACTAAAGGGCCCGGTGGGCGGTGACCAGGGATAACGAGGCATTGGTACTGGGCAGCACAGAGAGACTGCTCTGCCATCGCCCCTTGTTGAGCTCAGAGCTTCTCCAGGTAGGAAGGAGCAGAGTTGTGGTTGTGGCTGAGGGGTGTGGGCCAGAGACACAGTTCCACAATACTGCCTCAGCAGCCTGAGGAGCTCTGAACTTCTGGCCCTCCTGCCTCCATCTCCCAAGTGCTAGGATGAGGCATGCTGGGGATGGGCCCAGGGCATCAGGCATGCTGGGGATGGGCCCAGGGCGTCAGGCATGCTGGGGATGGGCTCAGGGCGTCAGGCATGCTGGGGATGGGCCCAGGGCGTCAGGCATGCTGGGGATGGGCCCAGGATGTCAGGCATGCTGGGGATGGGCCCAGGGCGTCAGGCATGCTGGGGATGGGCCCAGGGCATCAGGCATGCTGGGCCAGCAATGTACAACTGCACTTCGCCTCAGCACCAGACTGAAGAACGGATGGCCTTAGGAAGAAGGGGTCTGGGAAAAGAGGGTCCTTACTCAATCGTACATGTGGGCCCCAAGAGAAAGCCACACCCTCAGGTTTTAGCACAGAAGCTAGGTATGCAATTGTGGTGGGCTCTGAAAGAACTTGTTAAAGGGTTTGTAAAGTCCTCTCTCCTCCTTTTGCGTCTGGTAAAGGAATGTGTTCACACACATTTATTTTTTAAACATGGCATTGCTGTTTTAACATACATACCTGTGTATATGTGTGCGTGTGCGTGTGTGTGTGTGCGCGCCAGAGGTCACCATCTGGTTCTTCCTTATTTCTGCACCTTATTTTTGAGACAAGGCCTCTCACCAAACCTGAAATGTTCTGTTTTAGCTAGACTAGCTATCAAGAGAAGCCACTGGGATCCTCTTGCCTCTATCACCCACCCCCGCTCCCCACACCGCCTCACTATACCTGTCTTCCGCTGCCTAGCAATGGGGTCACAGAAGTGGGCCACTATGCCTGGCTTTTATGTGGGTGCTGGGGATTGAACTCAAATCCTCATGTTTACACAGCAGCCTTCACCCACTGAGCCGGCCCCAACCCTCGTAACATTATAGAGACGGAAGACTGTCTTGGGCAGACAACCTTCACAGTAACCTCTGCTAACTGTGCTGCCATTCTTGGTTCTTAGCTGGCAAGATACTTCAGCCAGACTCGGGGGTGAGGGATTCCCAACATTTCTTTCAGCACAGACTTCATTCAGTCCACAACACTTATCTTGAACCCAGAGAAAATACATGAAGAGGGAACAGTGAGTCTTTTCAAAGACAAGGCCCCTGATGCTCAGAGGGGTGAACTGCCTAGACTCAAAGCAAGAAAGCAATTGTGTTCCCAGGCGACCTGCTGCAGAGGGCTCTGGGTGGGGGTGGGGCGGGACCTCAGTGACAAATCCTCTCCCTAGTGACGCTGGGTAGGCCACCATGTCTTCTGAGCTTCTGTCCTTTGGTTTGGTGACAGATGGTGCCGTAGGCCGGCAGTTGCCTGAAGGTGGAGGAACAGTGGCCCACCCTGACAGCCCTGAGCATTGCGGCTGCCTCTGTGTTCCCAGAGCATCAGGCTTAACCTGCAGGCCGGAGCTAACAGCACAGGTAAATGCATCATACATGGTCTCCAAATTCCAGGAAGAGATGGAGACAAGGCTATGATGAGGCTGGCATTTGGGATATTCTAGAGGATAGCAAAACTGCTACACCATGAGAGTAAACTCATAACGACAGAGGCACATGGGAAGAGGCTCACACCAGGCAAGGTGGCTGAGGCAGGATGCTTGCTGTCAAGCTCACCACCTGAATTCAGTCCCTGGGACCCTCAAGATGGAAGGAGAGAACCGACTCCCAAGGGTTGTTATCTCACCTGATGTGCTGCATCAGTCAACCAATCAACAAATAAATTTAGAAAATGGAATCATGTCTTTGTGAGTTCACAGGTCACCTACTGGAGGATGCATGGAACTAGCTCATGACTTTGACAAAATTTGGAGGTATACTGCAAGAATTCAGGAATGTGTTTATATTTCCTCTATGATGTATACCTTCCAGTAACTAGATGTCTGATTGGAGGCTGTTAGGTACTGTCTCGCTATGACCACAGTGCATGACAGAGACTGGGTGAGGAGAGGGTCATTCTGGCTCATGGTTTAGAGGGTTTCCGTCCATCTTGATGGACAGGGCATAGTGGCCGGGGCACGTGAATGGAGACTGTTCACGGCAGACCAGGAAAAGATGGGGGAACCAAACTCAGGGCGTCTGCAAGAGTAGGTGCTGTTTGCTGGAGCCATCTCTCCAACCCACTTCCAGCCACTTCAGTGTTCCTGTAATCAGAACGCTTCTCCGAATGCTACAGTCTTCCACCTCATGTTCAGTCCTCAGCTCTGTCTCCCCAAAACAAAATTATTGGCACAGCTCCCTGTGTGGGGACCAGAGACAAAGGCCATCTCTGGGCAGGAGGTTACGTGATGGGAGAATTGAGTGACACCCTGTCCAATCAGGCAGCATTGACTCCTCACCTCTACCGGGTGTGGGAGTCCCACAGGCTGGCTCTTTAATTGTTCTACAACCACGTGTGGTTTTCCA